CTTCAATGGACGCGAATGATTTTGTATATATAATATCGTTAGTTAAGTGAACTTTTAAAAAGTGCCTGAGAGATTATAGTGTTTTACGGTTAAACTTGATTTTGTCCTGTAAAGTTACATGTTTAGAAAAGACACGATAAACTAGAACAATAGATATTAGCATTATATCACTGACATAAGCCGTGAATTAAACTACTTCAAAATTGAGTCCAAACTTCTGTAAATTTGATGCAAATAATTTCCTTTAAATTTATAGAATTTTGGACACTTACATCATATTGACATCAAATTTACAACCTTTAAAGCGCGCGATTTTTTCCAGTGAATACCATGGTACACATCGCCAGGAAAGGACTATATTTCATCAGATTTATTTTCACGCTTACCGGCGCACCTCCATACATTTATCCATAATATGATCCTGAACGAGATCTTGATTTTGATCTTGATTTTGATTTGGGCCTATACTTTGATCGAGACTTCGATCTTGACTTTGATCGAGACTTCGATCTTGACTTTGATCGAGACTTCGATCGAGACTTCGAGCCTAAAAATAATAGATATGATGATGAGGTATGCTTGCGGCGCACGTTACGGTCATAGGCGCTATGCGGCTGCATGGACATATTAAGATTTCACCTTTGGGTTTGTCGACACAGTAAGGTCTAGTGCAGTAGCATTTTGTTCCTTTAACACGAACTTTCCTGTTTTTCCTGATCTGTTTTCGACCACATCTTACGAAGACAAGAGGGCAGAGAGGCACACAGGAAACCAGGCCACTAGAGGCACAGTCACATCGTGCATTACAGCCATGAATGAATTTACCGAAGCTATACCTCTTGCCTTTGTAAAAACAACCTGGCAATACAAAGAAGAAATAAATGTTTTTTGAAATCCTTAAAAGAAAGAATAACTCAAAGTGTAATATAGAATTGATTTACCGAACAGGAAGAGAAACAAGCACAATGAAGAGTAAGTAAAGTGTTGCGAGCTAATATATCACAGTAAACCACTTTGATATCTTGATTATATGCATACACGTTATATTTAACAATTAGACCTCGAGGTCGAGTGGACTACGAGCTAATAGCCCATGAGGCCGAGTCCGCGAGGCCGAAGTCCGCGAGGCCGAATGGGCTATTAGCTCGTAGTCCACGAGGTCGAGAGGTCTAATTACTTTAGTATAAACATACTAATCGGTCAAATAATGAAAACAAATTGAAATATCCTTAAAATAATTTATAATTTATAGTTTATTTATTTTGATTTTCCCGCCAGTGGTCTATCACAAATTAGACCATTAGTAGATAGCCAATCACAGCGTAGTATGAGTGATAGACCATTAGTATGTTTATACTAATAGCCGTTATATTGTCGTTGTATTGTCGGTTTATTGTCGTTGTAGTACTAGTGTCGGTTTATTGTCGTTGTATTTTCGGTTCATTGTCGGTTTATTGTCGTTGTAGTGTCGGTTTATTGTCGTTGTATTTTCGGTTCATTGTCGGTTTATTGTCGTTGTAGTGTCGGTTTATNAGGAGCTGGTTTAGACCACATACGTCATCAATGAAACCAGGGCAGATAGGGTCACAGGAAATGATGCGGCCAAAGGGTTGTTGACTAAGAAGCGTAGCTGTATGACGTAGAGAAGTCCTTGAGGCATGACAGTAACATCGGTAATCACAGCCATCTATGAATGGACCGAAGCTATACCTCTTGCCTTTGTACAAACAACCTGACAATTAGAAAGTAGAAGTAAGTAACTAAAGATTGTTTCACGAAAAACTAGAACTTTGGTATGTTGATTATTTCCATACACTTGTATGAGTCATGGAAGTCGCTATGTTGCCGTTATATTGTCGGCTTATTTTCAGTTCATTGTCGTTGAGTGCCGTTCGTTGTCGTTGTAGTGTCGTTTTATTGTCGTTGAGTGCCGTTCGTTGTCGTTGTAGTGTCGGTTTATTGTCGTTGTAGTGTCGGTTTATTTCGTTGTAGGTGTCGGTTTATTCAGTCGTTGTAGTGTCGGTTCAATTGTCGTTGTAGTGTCGGTTCATTTTTGGTTTCGATCAAATTTGATCTTGACTTCGATCTTGACTTCGATCGAGACTTCGAGCCTGAAAATGATAGATTACTGATGATGAGGTATGCTTGCTGCGCACGTTACGGTCATAGGCGCTATGCGGTTACATGAACATATTAAGATTTCACCTTTGGGTTTGTCTACACAGTAAGACGTAAAGCAGTCGCATTTTGTTCCGTTAACACGGACTATCTTGTCTTTCTTGAACTGGTTTTCAGTACATAATACCAAGGATGGGCAGATAGGCTCACAGGAAACCAGGCCACTAGAGGCACAGTTGCATCGTGCTTTACAGCCATCTATGAATGGACCGACGCTATATCTCTTGTCTTTGTACAAACAGCCTGACAATAAGAAAGTAGAAGTAACTAAAGATTATTTCACGAAAAACTAGAACTTTGGTATCTTGATTATTTCCATACACTTGTATGAGTCATGGGAAGTCGCTCTGATGCCGTTATTTTATTTTTTTTATTTTTTTTTATTATGTTGCCGTTATATTGTCGGCTTATTTGCGGTTTATTGTCGTTGAGTGCCGTTCATTGTCGTTGAAGTGTCGGTTTATTGTCGTTGAGTGCCTTTGGTTGTCGTTGTAGTGTCGGTTTATTGTCGTTGTATTGTCGGTTTATTGTCGCTGTAGTGTCGGTTCATTGTCGTTGTAGTGTCGTTTTATTGTCGTTGTAGTGTCGGTTCATTGCCGTTGTACTGTCGGTTTATTGTCGGATTTGTTTTACCTGAAGGGCACTTCACACCAGTATTACAAGGTTGGGTTCTTGTTGATGATCCCTGACACGCCTTGCCACCGTGAGCCGGAACAGGGTTGTTACATTTTCTTAAGCAGGTTTTGACTCCACGTCCACAGGTCACACTGCATTTGGAGTAAGGTCCCCAAGCACTCCACCCACCGTCGACAGGGGCTGCATAATGAGAGGAACATATATGGTGAGAAGACTAAAATATGTATTCAGTTTGAGT